AGTAGCAGCAGCAGCAGCGGTAGCGGTAGCGGTAGCGGTAGCAGTAGCAGTCGTCGTCGTCGTCGAGGTCGTCGTCGTCGTGGTCGTGGTCGCGGTGGTGGTGGTAGCAGCAGTTGTTCCTGTTGGCGGTGAGTTCTGGGCATCGTTATGGATAGGACAGGTACATCTTTAAGCACCCTCTTCGGCTCATCGGGGATCTAAAACTGAGCATCACACAAGCTTAATTGGATCCGATCAGCGCCAGCGTGGGTATGATGGGGGGGGGGAAAGGTTGAACTCTCTCAGGTTTGCTCGCGCCGGTTGGCATTCATCCATCCTCCGGTCCAGCCATAGTTCGTCCGCCCATCCAACAGGCATGTACCTGCATCTACTCGCACATACAAAGATATGTGCGAATGCGTGCATACGTTGACACAAAAAATGCATATACATATACATGCATGCATGCATGCATGCATGTATAGCGGTTGGGATGTATGGGTGCATACATATGTATATATATATATACATAGATAGATACATAGATAGATAGATAGATAGATAGATAGATGAGGTAGGTAGGTAGGTAGGTAGGTGGGTGGGTAGGTAGGTAGGTAGGTAGGCAGGCAGATAGGTTAAATAGGTTGGATGGGTTAGATGGATTAGGTTAGATTAGATAGATAGATAGATAGATAGATAGATGTACATACATATACATTTGTACATATGCACTACGTACGTATGTATGTACGCATGTATGTATGTGTGCATGCGTGCATGTATGTATCTACGGGTGTACTACTAAAAACGTGCCACCCTTCATTCTACTTGTGTAAAAATGTGAGATCTTCCGACCATGTATCATTGGAACACATGTATGCATACTGTGTATGTCATGTATGTATATGCATATCTATTTGTCGATCTATTCATTTTTTCATTTACCTCACTACTTATTTATCCATCTATCTATCTATGTATGTACATATAGCTATACTTTTCTATATATATATATATATATACATACATGCAACACATACATACATACATACATACATACATATACATACATACATACATACATACGTACATACATACATACATACATACATACGTGGGTAGATGGTGTGCGAGCATTGACTTTGCACTCGCGTCCTGGATTGTTTATCTGGCGCGGGTCACGTATGACGTATACACATTCAGAGGGAAATGCAACCCGACGTCCACACATGCGGATGGCCTACCGTTTCCTCGAGCCCGGTTGGCGAGTCAGTCAGCCCATCAAATGCCGAGGAGGTGTCTCGCTCCTGCCGTTGTACGATGCGCACAGAAAGCTCATCCCTTTGAAGGGGGATGTGCCTTTGTCAGCATTTTCAATGGACGGGGGCTACAGGCTTTGCACCGTCGCCAGCGCTGTTACGACAGCCGCTTGTTGAACTTTGGAAAGTAGTAAGGCAAGAGAAAGTGTTGCATGGCAGAGCGCAGCGGTTGCTCCCTGGTAGGTGCTGAACATGAACAAGGTCCACAACTTCGGAGCCTACCTCTGCTTTAATTTGCAGCAGTTGGTGTTGCCCCAGCCAAGGGCCAAATCGCACTGCTTTCCTAGGACGCGTGGCCGTGAAGATTTGGGACAAGCTGGACTCGGGGATGGTGCGTGCCTTCAACGCAATTTCACAAGTTTCCAGCTTTGCTTACGCTTTTGGCTTATTCGCCCGGGCTTCTACTTCATGGAACTTCCAAATATCACCTGCATTTAGACAAAGACAAAGATGTCAAACAGCTGAGTCGGGACTCGTAGGAGAATTGGAAGAAAGCTGTGGGCTTCGGGTGTGCCTCTTGTTTCTGTCCTGGTTGAGTCGCTGCAAACCAGATGCAAAAAGGAGAATTGGAAGGAAGACAGTATAATATAGGAGCTCAAGACATCTCAAGACGAGGGTTATGATGAGGACTAGAGACACGGGTGGTCCTAGCCCCTAAGCGGTTATAGATCTAGAATTCCGCAAGAAATCCAACAAAGCACATTCCTCGACCTATGGGTTTTATCGAAGTAGAGGTCATGACAAATTCAAGACAATTCAAGCGTGCCCGGCTGAGAGCCGAGATTTGCCGGCGCGAAGTTTAAAGATTGAGGATGTTCAACATATGGGCCTGCTCGCACGAACAGTTGTTTATGCATCGATACGGATCGAAGCATGGGCTCTACAAAAATATAGTATACAAGTGACAATGACGCATGAGGACTAAGCCATACCAATTCACGAAGGTGAGAAACTTTCTCAAGCCCTCGATGCGTGTGCTCACGAATGTGCGGTTCTGGCTTGTAGATGGCTGGATGCGGGTTTTGGTTTGTCTCAAACCACATGAACTTCTCAGAATTCCAAGATTAGGTTTGCGTTTTTTTGGCAGGTCGAGAGGTCGACTTCTTGCAGCAGTCTGCCGGTCATCCAAACATCTCTGCCCTTTTAGGTGGGCGCAGGGGCAAAGAGCTGGGGGAGGAGATTTTATCCATTGCCTGAAACCTTGGAGCTGGCTTGGGAGGTAGGTTGAGATGAGAATAAGCAGATGTCCTAGCAGCCCAGCAGGCCACAGAAGCCAACGTGATTACCTACCTCGCCTGCAGTGTCCGAGTTTCGAGAGTCTAAAGCCGCAGGGGATGGTGTATTGTGGGCCAAAAGTCCCGGAAATGCATCTGAGCGCAATTCTGGACCCGGCCGATTGAAATGGTGGCTTCCTCCACAGGCATTTACGCAGAGGCGCAGAAGAAGAAGTCCAGCGCAGCTTGCATGCACAAGCGGCTAGAAGGGTGCAGGTTGACAGCCTGCCTCGGGTTCCTGACACCAGCCACGCGTAAATTCAAAAATTCCGGCGAGAGCTAATAGCGACCTACAGTTGCACATTCTGAGCACTGCGAGTAGAGATGTTGGCAATCTTGTCAGCCGAAGCTACTGAAATGAGGATACCTGACCGAAGTGCGACGGTGCATTCACTTATTTCGGTTGAAACATGCAGAATCGGCAAATCGGGTCGGCCAGTGTGACATTCTACCAAGTGCGGGTGACGAGCCTGTTAATACATAGCTTATCCGCAATCATCCTGTCCGCAACTCCTCTGAGGTGGTCTGGCTTCTAGTGATGGAGCACTGCACGGGAGGTGATTTCTTCGACATCATCAAGGCCTTAACTTCTGAGCGTTGCTTCAGAGCATGCCCTGTGATTGAGACCCAGAAGCCTTGATGTAGAGGACGGATTTTCGCTCTGTAACAGGACGAACAGCAAGGGCTAATTCTGATGAAACCCGTCAGATCTCCGCAGGAATGGCGGCATCTGTCGATAGCGCTCCTTGCTACGAACCCATCCCTCACCAGAAGCTCACGAGATAGAAGCCTCATGCATGCAAGCAGAAATGTGCCCTGTTACATGGGTGCGCGCAAGGAGAAGTATTTGTCGATTGCTCGCATTCTCGACATTCAAGCCGGCGCGGGCCCTGCTTCCATAGCAGTTTTTGACCAGCAGGTATGGTCACATGGCAAGCCATACGTTCAGAACAAGCGGCAGCAGACATTCAAGCATGTAGGTGGTGGAAAGGCTGCTTGTGCACAATCAGCTGCAGTTTCTCTTTCTTTGGGTGTTTCCACGGGCCTCCACTGCATATATGTATTTCGGGTTGAAGCGGAGGCCGGATCGGCATTGATACAGCACGATGCACCATGATTCATTGCAATCACTAGATTAATGTGGACAAATTCTGCTTCGCGCTAGTGGCAGGCCTGTGAAGTTGCAGTGTCACAGTTTCAGGGTGCAGATTCCGGTGCCAGTGACGGCCATGCTGCTGTCGAGGCTTGGCGTCAGCGTTGACACATCTGCATCGCTTGCGCATCGTGCATCGAGATGTCAAAGCCGAGACTTGGGGTGTTCAGAACAGTATCAGAAACGACAGCAGCAGCAAGCATAATAGTAGTCACAGTAGTAAAATCACACATCACGCATCAATAGGCATGAAGGCCGCCCCCGAGCAGTGTCGAGAGTCAGGGTAAGTTTGGTCGTCAGCCACCCACGCCCTCCACAGACTCTGGGGCCTTTACGTAGGAGAAGGCCAATGGGAATGATCGCGCAGATGTCTTCGCATATGTTCTTTGATTGGACCTCCTGGCAACAAAGGAAAATGTTGTGATGCACAAGGAGCATGCTGTGCTCATTGATCCTCGGCCATGAAGTCCTAGATACGGGCTGTTGCTCTTTCTTGCTGGGTGGCTGTGTAATGAAGTCTGAGATCGCATCGTTCTGCTGACGGGAGATGCTGCAAGTTGACCATCTGTGAGGTCTTGTTGGGATTGCAGTGCTTGTCAGGACTTTGGCATTGCGGCCTACCTTGATGACCAGGTGAAGACAATTGTACAGAAAAGGGTTTTGGGAATCATTCTCGCTTCAGTCTTGTCCAACAGATGGCGGTGCTTGAGCTTTAGACAGATCACGTGCACCTCTGCCAGCTCGACAGGAAGCCATGTGCCGCCCCGTTGGGTCTCCGGGCTATGCTGCAACATGGCTGAATGTCGGCCAGACTTTAGTCGCATCACACATGGATCGCATCCCCAGGCACCGGAGATCATCGCTCCGACTCCGCAGCTCTACGACGAGCTGGCGGCTTGGACGAACCGAGGGCTGTAGCCGCAGGCTTAGGCAGCAACCCTTTGAATATCCCATGAACCAAGTAGCCACCCGCCACCTGCTGCGACATCGTGCTGTTTTGCGGTCATAACCAGGCTTGACAATGATTTCATGCGACTGGCACCATGCCCGGTATTGTAGTAGCACCTGCGCTGCTTGGGGAAGGGGCCGCTCAAAGTGCAATCTTACAGAGCGCAGGTGGACGTCTTCGCCCTGGGAGTCCTGAGTTACTTTATGCTGTTTCGAGCGCTGCCATTCTGGGCCGGCACCCACGAGGACCATTCAGGGAGGTCAACATCCACTCTCGTCACACCGAGCCCCCTGTTCTCTCAGGAGATGTTGGAGAAGACCCGGCAATGTGAGGCAATGGCTCCGTGATTTGACACAGCTTTACGCATCCGGTTGATCCTCGATCTAGCGTGACGGAACTGTAACGGATTTGTGTGGAGCCTTGTCTGCTTGTGCGAGAGTGAGACTCGAAACCCTGAAGCTCCCAACGCTCCTGACAGCCAGGTCGAAATCCCAGAGTTGGACGACGACAGCATGCGTCCAGTCGTTTCTTTGGTGCTGCGGATGTCCCTTGCCTCGACCTGGAAGCACCTTCTTAGGCTAGCTCCGCCGATGTCGACATCGAATCACGACTAACTGCAGCAAGCGGCCCTCGGAGATGGGCTGGCTTGTAAGCCGACCCCCAACGACCTTTCTTCAAGAAACGCTAGCTGGAATCGTTGGAAGCTCACGGTAGTGCTACTGTCGGGTGCTATACTATACCCAAACAGTAAGTAAACTGAGCAGCTGCACCTGGGAGCTTAATTTGCTAAAGGACCTCGCTTGTCAAAAGGTACATTCTCACCTTGAGCTCGCTGTGCACTGTTGATGGCGCCTATTCCCAACTCGAGCGAGTCGACTCCCAGGAACACATCAGCGGCAAGAAACAGAAGAAAGCGAAATGGGTTTGGGCTCCTCACAGAACTCCCCCTTCTGACTGAGCTGACCTCCGACCTCTTGCGACCGCCCCAGGATGTCCAAACAGGCTGCAGATCGGCCGAGCGCTGCCTGGAGAGAAGATGCCGGTTTCTTGAGGGCCGTTCTACTCTGCCTGTTTTCGATTCACGGTAAGTTCGAGGGTTCAAGAGCCTTGCAGCAGTGCTCAGGGTTGGCAGGGGGTTGGAGTCTTAAAGAAGCCCAGATTGTTGTCCCTGGTCGCAGCTTCAGCCAAGGCCGTGGCATGTTTCAACGAGCTCCGCGAAATGGCACCCGAGGTGACGAAGTCCCGCAAGGCGCGTCGGGCTGAGAGCCAAAGAGAGTATCCGGGCTCAGGCCTAAAATTTCTCCCACGAGCTTTGCACTACCTATGGTAGGTGCTGGGATGCCCAGGCCTTCAGAGAATGCCATCCCCCCATCGAGGCCTCACGGGCCTTCCGGATTGCCCACACTGCCTTGGTGCGCTACGGCTGCTTTGCTGAACTCCGACTCGCGGGCCTGCACTCCCCAGCCTTTGACCCTGCCTGGCCGAGCAGATGTGAACGACTAGAAACAGAAGTCTGCTGGATCGACCATGTTCCAAAGATGGACGGCCAAAGTTTTGTGCGGTGTTTGAGTTCCCGGAAATGATTCCCCCACGAAGGCTATATGGAGGCTACCGGCAGCTCGATCAGCAAAGATGCGCAAACCGGGTTTGAGCAAGTCGATTTCGTGTGAGATGGTGGTGAACACAGGTCGCGCCCTTGCGTAGGAGCTGGGTGTACAGTGGTACTGCTTCAAGCCTTACCATAATCGAGTCATCCTGGCAGAGGAGCGAAAACAAACATAAAGACATCAATCGAGAGTTGTGGGCAAAGCGGATCATCCTGTCTGGCCAGCTGGTAGAAGCTGAAGTTACTGCGACTGCAGGTCTCTTAGCGCTATTCGGATTGGGGATAGGCAGGTCCACGAGTACTGAAATGCATGCAATCGCCGTGGCTCCTTGTGTGTTCAATGGAGTGCACCTTTACACGTCGGCTTACTGTACTTCTGACAGATAGAGACCACAGGTTTTGCAAGCGGATCCCTTTTGACATGCATGCTATCCAGTCGCAGCCGAGGAGACATCAGCCTGGATGAGTTTTCCGACAACGAGGGCGCCAAACTTGAAGTTTCATAGTCACTAGCGGAAACTGCGTAACCTAAATCAGACGAGATTCCAAACGAGCTTGGATTTCAGTCCGGAGGACAACACGGACCATTTGCTGCATCAGTTGATGCGGCTTACTTATATAGGGGTGTTCAACTTAGCTTTTGCCAGCAGCTCCAACTGCTGCGCCTGTCAGGCATGCTGTTAGCCTTGTTCACCGCTGGCATGGTCTCCGCCCTGACCGGCATGTGACCCGCTCAGGTGCGGACAGGTCCGAGGTACCTTCACCAACCAACAACATCGACGTGTCTCCTGTGCCGACGTTGCGCACACCGGCGGCACCGACGCAGACGGTAGCTTCCATGACGTCGGGGCCGCAGACCACAGCAGATCAACACAGCAGACAGTCGTAGTAGTACCACCACCACCACTGCATGGGCCTAAGAATGCATATGCATGCAAAGTTGCGAAGTGTAGTTCCTCCACCCAACTCGAGATTTGCGAAGCTTGCAGGTCCAGGACCTCCATGCTGAGCGGAGTTGGGAGTGTGCTCAGTTCGGCGAGGAGGCTGGGGACGAGATGCATGAGCCCGCCAGTCCACCAGATGAGTCCAGAGCCATCAGCTTAGATATGTTGCGGCTTGCATGTTGGTTCGATTCTCGGGGAAACTGCACTTGACATAGAGTGAGCAGCAATTCCCTGTGCCCTGGGCTTGTGATGCAGTACATAGAACGAGCGATATGCGAAAACAGTACTGCGTGACAATACCTATCTCCCGGAGACTTGAGAGAGCATTGCTCCAAGATCGCGAAAGTGATGTTGAGATGTTGCTGTAAGGGATGCCGGCGCACAGGCAGCGTGGGAACGATGAATCATTATGCTGTATAAAGAGCATAGAGCACAGAGTACAGTCCTAGAGTCCTAGAGTCTTAATTATCTTAATTGTGTGTGCAATGAGAGGCAAAGGTCGCCAACAGACTCAAGAGACCCAGAGCCGGGCAGACCATTCTCCCGCCCCTGAGCCAGGCGGATGCCTTCCTTGCGTGTTCCGAGAGCATCGAGTCTGCAGAAAGCTTTGCGGTTTTGGTATTGACAGCTTCGCAGGGTGAGTGCTCGGAGCCAGGAAACGAAGCGGGCGTTTGAGCGTCCTCCTTCCCACTCACTGTTTCAACACCTGGAGTTCGAAGTAGATCTAGGTTCCCCATGATGGCCCAATATCACATCAAGACTGAACCATCGCACCGAGGTCGCCTTGGAAGTGGTCCTGATAGTGTAAAGAGTGACCATGATACGATTCGACCCAAGGTCGGGCAGACGGTGTCCAAGGCCAGGAACGGGGCTTTCAACTGGCAAGAGCTTTGTCTGGCTCGGGTCCTATTTAACTGGCTGCCCTGCGAAGGTCTTCCGGAATATGGCTCACTTGTCGGAGGCCTCAATGTCGACAGCTGCGATGCTTTGCCGAGAAATTCAGTAGAATTCTGCTTCGTTGCCTTGGTCTTAAGCTTCGTACAGAGAAGATTGGCGTTGGCCCCTTCTGCAAGGATGGCAGGAACAGCTCGATAAGCGCCCCACAGGTGGCATTAGCCTAGAGCGACAAGATCTCGATCCGAGACTGTGAACTAAGCCGTGAGGAGGGAGGGAGATACAGCATACATTATACATGATACATACACAGATGTTATATACATATGCATATATGTAGACATACAGAGGAGAGAGATAGAGAAAGTTGCTGATTTGTTACCTAGAGGTATTCTCTCCTCCACCCTTTCGTGATTGTTCGTCGTTTCACGCCGTTTGTCCCGCGACAGCACGGGTGGGCCTGAAGCCCGGGCCACTGACTCTACCCCTATGCCCCGGAGACAGAGAGAGAGAGAGAGAGAGACAACGACTTTTGCTCGCACCCCCA